TTGGTATTAGGGGATGGGGCCTTTACTAAGTGAGTAAGTCCCAAGGGAAAAGGCCTCATGAATGGGATTGGCACTCTCATGAAAGAGCCCCTAGAGCGGTCCCTTACCCCTCCCACCGTGTGAGGACACAGGGAGAAGATGGCCCTCTGTGAGCCAGGAAGCAGGCCTCACCAGGCACCAAGTCATGGGTACCTTGACCTTGGACGTCCCAGTCTCCGGGACCGTGAGAAATAAATGTTTGCTGTCTAAGCCCTCAGTCTGTGGGATGTTTGCTAGAGCAGCCCAAACTAATACCCGCCCAGTTACCACGGGCCAGACACGGGAAACCTCCCGTACGCACCAGTGCTGTGCGGCCTTTCACAACTTAAATGACTGATTCTCAGTCTAAATGAAAGCCTGGTGAGCTGTTTTGCCTTTCGGAATGGCTTACGTGAGGGATCTTTAGTTAACCTCTCTGTAAGTCTGAACCTTTCAATTCCCATGGGGTCAACTCGAGCAGAAAAGAAGCCAATTTCAATTCTTCTGTACTAGTGGCATTTTCAGCAGAGACTTCTGGCCTTAGCTTCCAAAATCCTGACGTCCTTTGCCAATGATGAACATCAGTTTCCTCTGCCCCCTCCTCATTATTTGCTAATATCTCCCCTTTTGCTAGTTAATGCCAGTCCAAGGGCTCCCTAACATGGCACCTCGTAGCTACTCATTCCTTTGTAATGTAGATCTGAATAATTAACATTAAAGAATGTGTGGAGCCCTGGCCGGTGTGGCTCAGGTGGTTGAGTGTCATCCCGTGCACCGAAAGGTTGCTGGTTCAATTCCTGGTCAGGGCACATGTGCAGATTGTGGGCTCGATCCCCAGTAGGGGGCGTGCAGGAGGCAACCAATCGATGTTTCTCTCTCACATTGATGTTTCTCTCTCTTTCTCTCCCTCTCCCTTCCTCTCTCTCTAAAAAATCACTAAAAACAAGAAGGTATGGAAGTTGTTTGGGGGAGGGAATGTATGAACTAACATGAGAATCTACAATCCACACTGCTCACACTCTGCCTGTCTTGTTTCCCTGCCCGCACTTTGCCCCCTGAGCCCTGCCTCCGGTCCAGCTCTCCTCACTCCGTTTCCTCTCACCCACCTTCACCCGCACTCTCACCCTAGCACTAGTCTAGGTGTCGCTACTGAGTTTTCAGACGGGTAGAAAGAAGGAAGAGTTTGCTTAAACTGGCAACACATTTCAATGGGAAGCCCATGGTCATCTGCTTAGACGAGAAAGAGTTTGGTAAAATCAAATCCACTTTATTGGATAAATTTTTAGCAGTGCAGTGGTGTTCCTTTTAATAAGAACACTGACAAGTCCTACACAGGGAGAAAGATTTGACATAGCAGTATAAGGAGATGTCACTAGCAAAACCCAAGGCAAGCAGAACCGGCTTCTTCCTGAAGCAGTAGGTCCCCACCTAATCTCTCTTCACAGCTCATGAATTCCTAGCAAGCAGAGAAAGGTGTTTCCCAATTATCCTGCTGGAGGGTGGAGGCTGAAGCTCTACCACACAGCCCAGCCCAGCCCAGCCCAGCCCAGAAGAAGTGAGCATCTTAGTCCTGCTGCCCGAGCTCAGCCATGTGCCCCAGATGCGAGAGCTCTGCAGGACCATGGCCCATCTGTGTTTGCCTGGGAGGTGCGTGGCACCTGCCATTATCTGTGTGGCCTTGAGCTAACTAATTAACATCTCTGAACCTCAGTCATCTCATTGGAAACAAAGGGTTTCTAAGGGCTTCTCTGCAGTGTTTCAAGAATTAAATGCAATCACCCAGGTGAAGTGCCAAGCCCACCACTGGGCACATAGCAGCGCTCAGTAAGTGGTGTGTGTGCAGAGATGCATTTGGGGCATGTTCTTAAAAGACAGCAGGCCAACTGGTTTTGTTTTGGGCATCATCAATACAAAAAAATTCAAGTTTCTGTGGCTCCAGACTCGCTGGAGACACACAGCCTGCTGGAAGGCAGGGCATGGGATAAGTGATGTGAAAGAAGGCGCCCAGTTGGCACAGACCTTGAGCAGGGAGGGTTCTCCCCAGAAAGACAAGGTTCTTTCTCCTCCATCAAAGCCAAGTGCTGAAGCCGTGGTCTCAAAGCAGTAGAAGGAAATGACAAGAGGGGGAGCTCTGACCACCAGCCAGGATGGCATCTGAATAATGGGCAGTGCCCATTCTACCTGGCCTGGGAACAGGGTCCCTTGGGTAGTGGTATCAACACCTGTCAGGTGTCAGATTGATGGGGAGAAGAGAACCATGGGAACTTACCTTCTTCTGAGCTCCTGGGGCCTTTCCCTTCCAGGGGATTTGTTCTCAGAGAGGAAGGTCACAGGCGCTAAGGCAGGAGTTAGCTCTCAATACGCTCAGGGCCTGACCAGGGAGATGACGCTTGGGATTTGGGAGATGTTGAGGCCTGTGGGAATTACCCGTGGCCCCACCTTACAGCCTGGCTCTACTCTCTGTGGCCGTCAGAAGTGATGGGTGGACTCCAGCCATGCGACTCAGGGCTGTGACCCACAGTGGCTGGTGAGCAGGCACATGTTTTAAAGTGACTCACTGAAGCTCTGTCTTCAGACTACAGCTAGTAAGTCCACGTTTATACAAGAACTTCCACAAAATGATCCGAAGACCTTGTCAAGCTTCAGTTGGAGCAACCGGCCATGGAGAAGGCTTTGCTAGGGAAATGAACGGCGGCCTTGCATTTGTGTTTGCATGAGAAACAGCTAATGTGCACACTTGGATTAGTATGGGACTAATCTCAGTTCACGTGGGCTCTGGCCTCTCAGGGAGCTTCGAAATAGGGCTGCACTGATCTCTTCCACTTCTGTAACCTCTACAGCTTCTGTGGTTGGCAGAGAGATGTGGTTTGGGCTCACGGAGGCCACTGCGGAGACAGACTGGAGAGCATCTCCTGCGCCAGTTGGAGAGGCTCACATCAGACAGCGAGGAGGCAGGTGTGAATCAGGCCCCAGGCCCCAGTCCAGCTACAAGGCTACTTTCCCTGCGGTTTCCTGTCCTCGCTTAGCTGCCTCACTGAGGGCTGTCACCTGCAGGCACTGATCGGTGTGACTAAGGCAGGTTGTAGATCTGGCTGGGGCAGCAGTCTTGCCGTGTAAGCGCTGGATCGGTTGGCCTGGGGTAAGTTCCAGCTGCAGCTCCTTCACCCCAAGGCCTCCAATCTTAGGAATGGGCTCCCTGCTCAGATTCCTAACTGTGTGCAGTTCCCCCTGGGGGCTGCAGGCTGCCTGCTTCCTTCTCCCGAGGGCAGGTTCCATCCATTCCAACACCTGCTTCACCACAGAAAGATGCCTGGGATCCTGGCTCAGTTCCATGCCCCTGGGGAAGACACCCCCAAGATCCAGCCTTTGTGGACCAGCACAGGTCCCCCTGCCCTGAGGGTGGCAACCATGAGTGGCCTGTCCCATCTTGGCTGCCTGCCTCCTCTCTCAACTCCTCACCTGCCCCAAGACCAAAGGCAGTTCTCTCTGCTCTGCCTTAATGTTCCGCCTCCCTGCAGCTTCGCTCGGACTCCCGGAGAAGGCGCTTCACCTTTGGGGCAGGAGGACGCTTCTATCTCCAAAGGCCAGTTGAGAGCTGTTTGAATTGTGGGTGAGGGGACATCTAAAGTCTCTCTCTAGCGAATCAGAAGTCTGTCTGCCTCAGCATGTACCAGACGTGTCCATCCATCCACATGACAACCTGCACTGTCGGTCTGTCCATCCGTCGATCCTCTTTCTGAGCCATCCACACTGGAGAAGACAAGCCCCTGAGGCTGTCAGCTTTAAGGCTCTTTGCTCTTTTCTCTCCTGATGGTCACCCCTCCTTATTTCCCCACTGATTCCCTCACCCCATTTGCAAGATGGGAGGAGCCCCCCCACTCCCCTGGGCAGCATCCCTGCTCTCCCAGCCCAGCCACCTTCTCAGGCCCCTGCCTGCGGAGGGCAGGCCCCGGGCTTCTTGGCAGCAGCGGAGACTTGGTCCAGCCTGGGCCTGAAGGTGCAGCTGCCTCCGCATCACCTCTCGTTTTTGCCTCCCAGCCCCTCATTCGCTGGTGACCAAAGGTGTGCTTTCCTTCTCCTTGGCCCACTGCGGGATCGCCGAGAGTTGGAAAGGAAACCACAGTGAAGGCTGGAAGTACTTTGAGATTCTTGGGCTTCTGGGTCCTCCCTTCAGGGGGAGGTGCAGGGCACAGTGTGATCGGGGTGGCCTGGAAGTGGCTGAGATGCTGTCCATGTGCTCAGAGGTGCTCTGCGGCCCAGGCCACCTTCTGAGAGTCACTCTAAGGAGGTCAATTGTCCAGCAGGCTATGTTTGACATGTAGAGCTCAGCAGAGGGAAAACACACCCTTCCCAGACAAAGAGAGACCAGCAAGGCCCCTGCTCTCTGCAGCTCCCAATGGTGGTCACTGGTCTCAAATTTGAGCAGTGCCTGCATGACTTGGATGGACCCTAACCCATCAGGCCTATGACCTCAGTCTAAGATGGACCACCGAGCTTCTAGGAGGGCAGAATCTCTCCTCCTTGAATCCATGATGAGCCGTAGGCTGGTAGGAATGAGGGGAAGGGGTGACTACCCTCTCTAAGTGTCAGCCCTTAGAAGGGGGCTGCTGGTTGGTCTGTGAGACCTGAGGAGGGAGGTGATTCTGGGCCAGATGACAGAGAGAGGTGTGTGAGGACAGAGGCCATGTGGTAACTGTCATTGTGGGGAAACCCATCCTGGCCTGGCCCTTAGCCAGAACTGACAGAGGCTGGGAGAGAGGAGGCAGCATTGCTGCAGGGTCCCAGGCAGCAGGTCACCTGCTTGGAGAGGCCCTGAGCTGAGAGGTTCTGGGACTGGATATATTATTCCCCCCCACAGAGCCTTGATGGCTCTTGGGCCCCCAAACACCACCCTCAGATAGTTCGCCCCACCCCACCCCTGGCTTTGCAGCATCTGAGCTCACAGAAGCCAGTGAACGGAGGTTGTGGGGAGAGAGCAGCCCTCACACCAAGCCCCTGGTCTCCTGGGTCCCATTCAGCGCCTCGGGCTCATCCTCTCGGTCCTGCTCAGCCTCTGCCTCCAGCTCCGCGTTAGCACAGCTGCCCGGCAGGAGGTATGGGAAAAGCCGGCCTTCCCGCTTCATTTCCGCCAGCTCCTTGGCACAGCAGCTGGGCGTGTTGGTCTCATAGGTGTCATGGAAGGTGTTATAGTCCACCTCATAGAAGCCTTTCTCCAAGGTGAGGACTGGTGTGAACCGGTGGCCCCAGAGCACCTCTGTATCCATGTAGGAGCTCCGTGCTTGGCACGTCATGCCTGGAGAAGAGGGCACGTACATTAAAGCTGGCCACAGCCATCCACCCACCCACCACCCAGTTACCCATCCATCTATTAACTCATCCCTCATTCATTTATCCACCCAGCATCCATCATCCATCTCCCATCTGATCATTCATCAAGCGTTTGCTGAACATTTACTTTGTGCTAAGCACATTGGAGATATAAAGCTAAATAAGAAATAGTCTTTGCCCTGGATGAGCTCAAAGTGTGGTGGAGTCAGAAAATAAAAAATTAAATGCAAGATTCTGGCATAGGTTCCTAGAGCCTGGAATGGGTAATTCTGCGACAGCCGGAGCTAGGGACGTCGTTCCTACAAACAGCACTGACGTCTAGAAGACTGAGACAAGAAAAGAGGCAGGAAAAGTTTGAACAAAGACAAATTCAGAGTGAAGGTGACAGGCATTCAGGACACACAGGGATTATTTTGAGTAGACACATATGGGCAGAAGACTCCTCTCCCTTCCCTTCTCTCTCTCCCCCCCTACCTCTCTCTCTCTCTCACACAGCTGGCTCCTTGACTTGAGCATGCTCCAGTGCCTCTGGTCCCTGTCCTCTCAGCCTGGCATGCCTGTGTTATTTTTAGGGGTTGCTTGCTCTCTGGAGAGGGAGGGCAGCTTTGTTTATGGATGGGGAAGCCTCTGTGCTCGGGGTAAGGTAAAAGCAGTTCTCTGATATTGAGTCTCCTGGCCAAGGAAGGGATGAGCAAGTGCTCTTTGGGTACTGAAGGGAAAGCTGGCTACAGCTTTGGCCTTTCTCTGGGTGGGTCTCACAAAAATCCATCCAGGTTAAAGGCTCTTTGCGCCAGTCTGTGCTCCGTGCTGGGCCACCCCAGTGCACCCGCACACTGTGGGCCCGTAGCCCACTCTCTCTCTGGGGGTGGGGGTGGGGCTGCCTGGGTCAGGCCTCGCCATTTAGTTGTTGCCTCTGGTTGCCCAACCCCAGCGTCAGCAGAGCTGTGAGGACCCAAGCTGGGTACTGATCAGCCTCGGTGCAGTCAGGTCAGATGTCCCAGGTTCTGGGCCTCAGGAAAGACAGTGGACAGGACCTCCACGGAGCCTGTGGCCCAGTCTCTGGGGTTCTGCCTGCCATTCTTCTGTCCCCATCCTGGGTGGACCATGCTAGAGATCCCGCATTATGTCCCTGGCAGTTCTCTTCCAATATGCTTGGAAAGGACAGAAGCCCCTCTAGGCGCCAGACACTGTGCTTTAGGTGTTATTTCATTTAATCACTCAGTCCCCCTGGACCCCGTGAGACTGCTATTCTCACTATGCTGACAACTCTCAGAGGCAGGTTACGGCAGAGCTCCGCTGGCCAGATCTGCGCCTGAATTCACTGCACACGCGGCTGGGCTCCATCGTGTGGCCATCAAACCATTCAAGTCGCTGAGATCAGGACAAATATCTCCACGGTTTTCCTGCAGTCCCAGGGACAGCAGCAAGGGTGACCCAGGTCATGGCAGGGAGAAGGTCTCCAGGTAGAGCAAGTCAACTGCAGGCCACCAACCTTGAAGGAGGCCAGATGAAGGAAACCAGCTAGGCAGGCTCAACACCCACTCCCTCTGCCTCCAGTGGCAGTGAGCGTGGCCAGGGAGTCGGCAAGGCAACGCCTTCCTATTTGTCCCCACGTGTCTGACCTGAGCCCTCATTTGTGACCTTGGAGTTGAGCTCCTCCTCCAGAAACTCGGCCTGTGTTCTGACCCTGAGCCCAGCACCAAGGGCAGTGTGACCTGTGAGCCCAGCCCTGCTATGGAGGCCCCAGCGTCCCCACTGTCCTCAGCTCCAGGGTTCCCCCGGCTGCCACCGTATGCTGCCTGGCCGGGCTCTGGGCCAGCAGAGGGCCAAGCAGCCTGGCTGCAGACGCCCCTGGAGCCCATCTGCATCCCCAGGCAGTTCTCACTGGCTACGCAGGCAAGTCTGTGGCCGCCCCTGTCTGACTCTCCCACCCAGCAACCGGCTTTCTGCGAGGTGCAGAAGGCTTGTCGGCCCAACTTTGTGACAGGCAAAGCTGCCCCCTGCAGATTCCATATCTGTGAAATGCAGACTTGGACTCTTCAGGCCCGGGGCTCCTTGGAGCCCCACACAGAGCCCTGCACGACTAAGGAACGTGGACACTCCAGCTGCCAGCTGCCCTTAAGAGTCGATAGCTGGGCAGGGAGGTGCCTGGCTGGCTGTGAAGAGGCATGGCTTAGGTGCACACGGATGTGAATACAATTTTCTGCACAGCCTGTGTTCCCTGAGCCAGAAGCTGGGGCAGGCTGCTGGAGGGGAGTGAGCTGCCTGTGGGTCTGGGACATCAGCGTCTCTTCATAAAGAGGATCTGAGTCTTTGGGGATCCCAGCATCTGGGCAATGCTGTTCACTCTCCTCTCCTCATCTAGCAAGTCATAGCATGGGGACACCTTGAAGACCTGCTGTTGAGAACCAGGTCCCTTTGTTTAACCCTGGGTTCCCCGAAGTTATCTGCTCACACAGCTCTTTCTGGGTGGATACCTGCACCAGGGTGGGAGGAGGCAGGCAGGCGGTGCGGCCTGCTGGAAACCAGTGACGCCCCGGGGTCCCGGCCTCCCTGTGCATCCTGGCCCGACAACCGAGGAGCCCGTCTCTTGGACACGTAACTCGCCTGCCTGTGCCTCTGTTTCCTCACCTGTGACGGAAGGGACACTACCTCAGGGGGCGTGGGAGGGTGTTTAAAATGCAGAGCCCGCCTGGAAGTTGGGAGGGTTCCAGGAACACTAGCTGTTGATATTACTCTCTCGAGTGACAATCCTCCCGGGCCCGCACTGTGCCAGCCCAGGTCCCCATCTCCTGGCAGGGGCCAAGGCAGGTGAGGCGCCTTACCTGTGGCCTCCACCATCCCTTCCAGGATGACCACGATTTCGAACTCCTCCTGGCCCAGCTGGGCGCGAGACATCTCCCAGAAGGGGCTCTTCTCATTGATCTCGTGGGAGATGATGAGCGGCGACACGAGGAAGAGGCGGTCGTCGCCCGTGTCGAAGCCCACGTTGATGTCCGTCTGGTTGAGGGGGATGAACTCCCCCTCCTTGGTCTGCCGCGACTGGATGAGCTTGGCGCGGATGGAGGCCTCCACGATGTGCGAGCTGCGCAGGTCGCCCACGCGGAACATGAGGCAGAGCCTGTCGTCGCGCAGCGAGATGACCGCGTGGTGGGAGAACATGAGCGTCTCGGCGCGCTTCTTGGGCTGGCTGATCTTCACGAACATGCAGCCGACCATGAAGGCGTTGACGATGGAGCCCAGGATGGCCTGCACCATGAGCAGCGCGATGCCCTCGGCGCACTGCTCCGTGATCACGCGGAAGCCGTAGCCGATGGTGGTCTCCGTCTCGATGGAGAACAGGAAGGCGGACACGAAGCCGCTGAGGTTCTCCACGCACGGCACCCACTCGCGGTCCCCCACGTGCTCCAGGTCGCCCCGCGCGTAGGCGATGAGCCACCAGAGGAAGCCGAAGAAGAGCCAGGTGACGGTGTAGACCATGGTGAAGACCAGCAGGTTGAAGCGCCACTTGAGGTCCACGAGCGTGGTGAACAGGTCGCTCAGGTAGCGGTAGGTCTCGCGCACGTTGCCGTGGTGCACGTTGCACTTGCCCGTCTTCTCCATGTAGCGCTGGCGCGGCGGCT